GGAGATGGAGAAGGGTAGGATGGGATGGAGAATGGAGGGAATGGATAGGGAAGGGATGGAGAGGGATGGGATGAGAAGGGATGGGATGAGAAGGGATGGGATGGAGAATGTTGGGATGGAGAGGGATGGGATGGAGAAGGATGGGATGCACTGTGCAGGGCTCTGTTGGGATGGGGAACTGCAGGAATGGCACGCTGGGGGGAGACTGACCCCAAAGGGATGGATGGGGAGGAAGGAATCGTTTGCCAGCGGGTTGGGATGCAACGGAACAGGGAAATGGAGGGGAGGGGGGGAGAGGGGAATGGAAAGTGCCTGGTGGAGGGGTGAGAGCAGAGGGATGGGATGGATGCAGGGGGCAGGGATGGGTGCGTGGGGCAGGGATGGATGCAGGGGGCAGGGATGGATGCAGGCAGGGATGGATGCAGGCAGGGATGGGTGCGTGGGGCAGGGATGGATGCAGGGGGCAGGGATGGATGCAGACAGGGATGGGTGAAACAGCAGGTCGGGATGCAGGAGGACAGGATGCGGGAGGTTGGGATGCAGCAGGATGGGATGCAGGAGGTCGGGGTGCAGCAGGATGGGATGCAGGAGGTCGGGGTGCAGGAGGTCGGGGTGCAGGAGGTTGGGGTGCAGAGGGTTGAGATGCAGGTGGACTGGATGCAGCGGGTCGGGATGCAGCAGGACGGGATGCAGGAGGATGGGATGCAGAGGGTCGGGATGTGGGAGGTCGGGATGCAGGAGGGTGGGATGCAGTGGGATGAGATGCAGGACAGGATGCAGGAGGTTGGGATGCAGGAGGTTGGGATGCGGGAGGACAGGGTGCGGGAGGATGGGATGCAGAGGGTCGGGATGCAGCAGGACGGGATGCAGGAGGATGGGATGGAGGAAGTCAGGATGCAGCAGGACGGGATGTAGGAGGATGGGATGTGGGAGGATGGGATGCAGAGGGTCGGGATGCAGCAGGATGGGATGCAGGACGTCGGGGTGCAGGAGGTTGGGATGCAGCAGGATGGGATGCAGCGGGACAGGGTGCAGGAGGTTGTGATGCAGGAGGACGGGGTGCAAGAGGACGGGATGCAGGAGGTTGGGATGCAGCAGGACGGGATGCAGAGGGTTGGGATGCAGCAGGACGGGATGCGGGAGGATGGGATGCAGGAGGTCGGGATGCGGGAGGTCGGGATGCAGGCAGACTGGATGCAGCAGGTCGGGATGCAGCAGGATGGGATGCGGGAGGTCGGAATGCAGAGGGTTGGGATGCAGGAGGTCAGGATGCAGCAGGAGGTTGGGATGCAGCAGGACGGGATGCAGGAGGACAGGATGCAGGAGGATGGGATGGAGGAAGTCAGGATGCAGCAGGACGGGATGCAGGAGGATGGGATGTGGGACGATGGGATGCAGAGGGTCGGGATGCAGCAGGATGGGATGCAGGACGTCGGGGTGCAGGAGGTTGGGATGCAGCAGGACGGGGTGCAAGAGGACGGGATGCAGGAGGTTGGGATGGATGAAGTCGGGATGCAGAGGGTCGGGATGCAGCAGGACGGGATGCGGGAGGATGGGATGCAGGAGGTTGGGATGGAGGAGGTCGGGATGTGGGAGGACGGGATGCAGGAGGTCGGGATGCAGCAGGACGGGATGCAGCGGGTCAGGATGTGGGAGGTTGGGATGCAGGAGGTTGGGATGCAGCAGGAGGACTGGGTGCAGCAGGTCGGGATGCAGCAGGACAGGATGCGGGAGGACGGAATGCAGAGGGTCGGGATGCAGCAGGACGGGATACGGGAGGTCGGGATGCAGGAGGTCGGGATGCGGGAGGTCGGGATGCAGGCAGACTGGATGCAGCGGGTTGGGATGCAGCAGGATGGGATGCAGGAGGTCGGGATGCAGCAGGATGGGATGCGGGAGGTCGGGATGCAGGAGGTCGGGGTGCAGGAGGCTGGGATGGAGGAGGTCGGGATGCAGCAGGATGGGATGCAGGAGGTTGGGATGCGGGAGGACGGGATGCAGGAGGTCGGGATGCGGGAGGTCGGGATGCAGGAGGTTGGGATGGAGGAGGTCGGGATGCAGGAGGTTGGGATGCGGGAGGTCGGGATGCGGGAGGTCGGGATGCAGCGGGACGGACGCACGGCACGGAGATGCTCGGCACATCGAGCTCCGGTTCGGGGAAGCTCCGGGACGAACCGGACTGAAGGAACCGTTTCGGATCGGGTCGGGGTTCGGAACGGGATGAGAAACATCGGAATGGAACGGAAGGGGGAATGGAAACCGTTTGGACGCGGCGGGACGGGAGAGCGCAACGAGAAGCGCGACGGACGGAACCGAACGGAGCGAGGGGAAAAAACTCAGCAGCGGGTCGGGACGGAACGGAGTGGCCGGAGGACGGACGGAGGGACGAAACGGACCGAACGGGGGGGTGGGAAAACACCGGGATCGCCGCGAAGCTTCGCTGCGGGTCGGAACGCGGCGCTCCGGACGGCGGAGTTTTCCGGCTCACGGAGCGCAACGGGACGGGAACGGGAACGGAACGGAACGGACGGCACCGGGATCGGCTCCGAACCCCCCCGCAGCCCCCCGTCCAGCTCCGTTCGTTGGCCGTTTCTCCTCTCGGCTCTCGAGAAGGGATCCCCGCAGAGCTTTTCCTCGACGGCCGCGACGGAACGGGACGCGGGGAGGGGATTTTGAGGGGGGGGTCGGGAGGAGGGGGGGGGGGTCGGGCCGTTACCTGCGGAATAGGGCGAGGGTTGGTGGTCGCGCAGAGCCCCCAGAGCGCAGTTGGCGGTGGAGAGAGGAGGGCAGGGGGGGGCGGCCCCGAAACCTCCCCGCATGGGGCTGTATTGGAAACCTCCGGGTTGACTGCAGGGACTGAATTCGTAGGCTGAAGCTTCCATGGCTGCGACGCAGGAATCGTACGAGTTGAGGTAGGAGTAATCCATGGCGAACATGGAGCGACCTCGAGGCCCCGGCCCGGGCCCCCCCCGCGCTACCTCCGGCGCTCCATGCACGGCCGCGCCCCGTATATAGCGGGCGGACAATGGCTCACGGCGGAGGGGGCTTTTGCATGACAATATCTCCCGGGGACCGCGGGCGTAGAGAGAGCGGGAGGAGCCGCCCCCCCCCCCCATTCTTCCCCCCACCCCCCCTCCTTCCCCCCCATCATCCCCATCAGCAACTCCAATTCTCCGCCCTTAACCCTTCGTGGGAGTCCGCCCAGACCCCCGCACCGCCCCTATGGGTACGGACTGCGCCGACAGCCGCACGTCGGGGCGGGTCCTGAGGGCTGCGCCCGCGTCCCGTCCATCCCCTATCGTCCCATCGCATATCGTCCC